TTTGACTTTCATAGAGAAAACATAATTCGAGTTGGGTTTTTCCAAGTGCTTTTAAACTGTTTTGAGTTAACAAGAATAGTCGAAGTAAATTTGAACAAGGATTGTGCTTTTAATTGCCAAAGAGGAAAGTGAGCTATAGTGATTGAACTTTGCGGACACAAACCAGCATTTAACTAGAGGAAAAATCCTATTCAATGATCGATTGAAATTTGAGGCACACGAAAGCCTGAGGCTAATTTCATCATATTTGTTTTTAATTTTACTTTCTTCGATTCTTTATTTTCCTTTGAATCATTATTTTCTTATTTAATTTCTCAACAAACCCCTTTTTACTTTACTTGCATTTTTTCGCCTAGATCAGAGATCAAGAACAATCATTTCAGCATCTTCCTTAGTCCTTGCGGATCGACCTTTACTCTCTTTATACTATTATATTTATTTTTAATAAGATTAAGGATAAATTATTTGACAGTGAAAATGACACGTTGTCAAATTGGCGTCGTTTCCAGGGACTTCGACAAAAGTTATTGATTTAGTTTGTTTTTTATTTATGACCAAGAAAAATTCCAAAGAGCTAGTAGATTTTGAACCTCTTATAAAAGCGCTAGCCCAGAGACTACTTGGACTAATAATTCAGGAAAAGAGGAAACAATAAGAAGTGCAACGCCAAGAACAATCAGATTTATATCTCGAAGCAGCTCTTGTGATCCAACAACCCCATTGCATCACCTTTCCTCAAGAAGAAACTCCGTTTCAACTTAAGACGGGGCTCATTCATCTTCTTCCTACCTTCAAGGGTCTTCCAAGAGAAAGTCTGCATAAACATTTGGCAGAATTCCACTTAGTCTGTTCAAGCATGAAACCACAAGGATTTTTCGACGACCAAATTAAATTGAGAGCTTTTCCATTTTCTTTATCTACTTACCTCCATATTCAATAAATACATGGGCTGATTTAAATTGAATCTTTCTTGATAAGTTTTTCCCAGCAGCTAAGGCAAACGAATTATGGAAAATCATTATGGAAATTAAACAAAAAGACGGAGAGTCATTTTATGACTATTGGGAAAGATTTAAGAAGTTTTTTGCAAATTTTCTGCAACACGGATTAACCGAGAAAATACTCCTTCAATATTTCTAAGAAAGGCTTTCTCCCTTAGAGATACAAATTATTGATGCTATCAGTGGAGAAGCTCTAGTCAAAATGACACCAAACACAGATAGAGAGTTAATTTCGATGATGACGACAAATTCACAACAATTTTCAAGTGAACCCAGCCAACAAGTTCACGAGATAAGTTCTATTTCACTTCAAACTAAAATTGAAAAATTAAATGACGTAGTTAATTCTCTTATTGTAGGAAAAATTAGAGCAGTGAGGCTATGTGAAATATGCACAATGCCAGATCATTTGACGGACTGCTACCCCATGCTATAAGGAGATGGTGCACAAGTAAATACAATGGAAAATTTTTCGAGATCTCTCCAAAGTTCTTACAATCCATACAGCAATGCTTCCAATCTAGGATGGAGAGATCATCTCAACTTAAGCTATGGACCAAATCTCGGACTAAATTAAGCTTATCAATTGAGTCTACCCCTATAACAACCTTATCAGTCGTAGAAATCATCACTTGAATCAATCGTCGAGAGGCTGGCTCTTTCCTTGGAGAAATTTCAAAATAGTACTAAAGCTCTCTTTCAAGAGCTCGATAATCAAATGAGCCAACTGACTCAAACTGTGGGGATATTAGAGTCACAAGGGAGGCTATCATTACAAACTGAGTCGAATCCAAGAAAGAATGTTAGTACCATCACCCTCTGAAGTGATACAGTTGTTGAACAATCAGTCCCAAAGGAAGTAAGCACAAGATCCCCGTATAAAGAAGAAAGTTCGAACTCCCAGAGGGAAGAAGAACCAGCTGACGTAGAATCCTGAGAAAAGAAGAAAGATGAATCACAAACTAATTCTGTTGTTCCGCCTCCTTTTCCTAAAAAATTCATAAAAAGAGATAAACAATTTGATGAGAAAGAAATCTTGGATGTATTCCAGAAAGTAGAAATAAACATTCTTCTTTTTGAGGTGATCCAAAAATTACCGAGGTAATCTAGATACCTTAAAGATCTCTACACTAATAAAAGGTGACTTACCGGAAACGAGAAGGTGACTTTAGGCGAAAACATCTCAGTAGTTTTCCAACAACCGCTTCCACTAAAGTATAAGGACCAAGGAATGTTTGCAATACCTTGTAAATTGGTGAGGTTAAAATCAAGCGAGCTATGTGCGATCCAGGTGCCTCTATCAATGTAATAACTCTCTCTGTCTATAATTTAATTTCCACCAAGCCTTTGAAGGAGATGAGGGTTAAACTTCAGCTCGCCAACAAATCAATTATCTATCTTGAATGACTCATAGAAAATGTTCTAGTAGAGGTAAACGACTTAATTCTCCCTACTGAGTTTTATGTGATTGATATGGAAAATGATCGTAGCAGCACTGGTTCTGAAATCCTCCTCGTTCGTTCCTTTCTGAGCATGAAAAATGCAAAATATTGATGTTCGAGGTGGTATTCTTACTATGGAGTTCGACGGTGAGATCGTAAAATTTGATATTTATAAAGTAATGAGATATCCAGATAACGTGCATAGTATTAATTTTGTTGGCATTATTGATCCTGTTGATGATTTATGCAGGAAATTGGATGATAAAAAAGATAAATCCATGGTGTTAAAAAATATTCACTACAGTAAAATGGGCTAATAGCGGCATTTGTAGCGGCGTTTTTAGAACAAACGCCGCTAAAGACTCCTACTATAGCGGCGTTTTTATACAAACGCCGCTTTAGAATGTAATTTAGTGGCGTTTTTATACAAACGCCGCTAAAGACTCGTACTTTAGTGGTGTTGTTATACAAACGCCGCTATAGACTCATGATTTAGAGGCGTTTTTATACAAACGCCGCTAAAGGTTTTTATACAAACGCCGCTAAAGACTCGTACTTTAGTGGCGTCTTTAGCGGCGTTTTTATACAAACGCTGCTAAAGACTCATACATTAGTGGTGTGTTTGTTACAAACGCCGCTATAGACTCGTGATTTAGTGGCGTTTTCTACAAACGCCGCTATAGACTCATGATTTAGTGGCGTTTTTATACAAATGGCGTTATAGACTCGTGTTTTAGTGGCGTTTTTGTTTACAAATGCTGCAAGTTTACAAACATGTGATTTCGTTAGAAAATTTTGAGATCAAGTATTCTACTTTAGTTACACAATTTTGAGAAAATTAATTTCGAAATGATATCAATTAATTCGTTCTTTTGGGTTACTCTTGGATTTGTACACTCTACTTATGATGCATTTAGGACTATTGAACAACTCTGGGATTTGAAAGAAGATTTTGAATATAATGAGTGTTGTGTTTAATGGTCAAGATGATTGTGAAATTTAAAAGATAAACATATATTTTTATAAATATATTTAACAAACTTTTTTCCACCATCAACATAAGAAACGTAACATGATCTGACATATCGATTAAAGTATATTAAATGTTATTAAATACCTTTAAATAATCATCAAATATTTTTTAAATTAATCAATTTATTATTAATGATTATTAAATTTTATTAAATTATTATAAAATAAACATTAAATTTATCAAAATATTATACTTGTTATAATATTATAACAACTATTTTATAACATTTATAAATTTAATAAGATTTTTATGACTAAAATTTATGGAAATAATACGAAAAAATTGTTTGTTTAAATGGTGCCTTTGTTGAATAAAATGCCTAAGTGCTAGTGCTACCCACGGCAACATCATCAAGTGTGAACATCCGACGTGGCAAACTTAATTAGCAACCGTTGGATCAAGGACCACTAAAATCCAACGGTCATAAGAGAAACCCTAAACTAAAAACGGGCCCTTGGTTTCTGCTATAAAATTCCAAATCCCCCTGTAATTTCCCATTCATCGTCCTATCTTTCATTTCAACTCAAAAGCGGCTCTTCAAAAAGGTTCGATTCCTTCGTCATCAAAATATCAATAATTGTTTTATCCCAATTTTTATTTTCGTTTGTAAATCTTTGTTTCTTTTAATTTTTATGATTTTCGAACGGAATTGTTTAGATCTATTTTTTTATGAGTGATTGTTTCCATAACTTTTGTGGAAACAAATTAAAAATAATCCCCACCATATTAATTCATTGCTCTTCACCTGCATCTGCCTCTGTCCACAAGCCTTGAAAAATCTAAACTTCAATTCAACCACCCTTTCTGAACCAAAAAAAAGAAGAAAGAAACATTTTCCCCCTTTCCCCTGTTCTACTTACTTACGACAACAACAAGCACATGAATCTTAGGCGGCAAAATTTTGAAATGGTATATGGAAATTTGGTACTTTGGGTTTTGTTTCTCTTTCGATTTTGCTGTCTTGTTGATGTTTTTTTTAAACAGGTGATGTTGGCCAGTTTACTTAAAGACCCTGAATTTGCTAATGTTGATTCAAGTGAAAACGAGTCTGTTCCTTTTAAAGGAATGATTTTGAGGACTAAAATTGGTAAATTTGCTTCATCCATCTCGGACCTTGTATTTCTTGTACCACCTTCAACATCCTGGCTCATATCTACAAGCGCTTGGACCAGCAGGTGATGTCTTCGTCCTCTCTTTCATTGATTTGTTTCCGTTTGTAAATTCTGCTAATTTTCATTTTTTTTTATGGAACAGAATCAGAGCGTACGTGAAAGTGATTTTAGAACATTTTGGTTAGCTAGAAATGAGAGGATAGTTGATTGGCTGCTGTACGAAAGCTCTTCCATTAAATGTCTCAAGGTGGGTTTCATGTGCCCTTATCTTCTATTAACAGTTTTTTTTAGGCACAGTCTTAATTTCAAATATGATGATATAAGCCTTATCTTTGTTGTGGTTTTTTGGTTTGATGATAGGAATTTTGGGTCAGAAATGAAGAATTGGTGCAAATGTATGAACAAACGCTCGGTGTTGCAGGCTATAACACTTTTAAGCTTGCAAGAACCAATAACCGAGGAGATGGTACATGCTCGTTTAACTCATTTCTTCCCATGACGTAGACATTTTTTAAGAATTTTTAATGCAAATGGCGTAGATTAATAGGGCGTTCTTATATGTTTTCTTCACTATAAGTAGATTAAGCTTAAATAGACTAAAAACCATTAGAGAACCCCGTGTTCGGTACAAAAATTGTGATGTTAGTTTTATGCAGCTTGCTATTCTTTAGTTTGGTGGTTCATGTCTAACTCATATGACCTTTAGTCTTTGAGCCTTCCATTTGGCTCATTTCCTATCGAAAGCGTTAATCGAAGAATGAACATTTTCTCACCTTTTGGGGGCCGAATTCGGCTCCTTTATAGTTCACATATTTTCTCATCTTTTCAGTTGCTAGCGATGGGGAAGACGATGGGGATATCTTTTAGGCTGTTTACAATCCTTATATCGTGTGCAGACCTTCCTGAAAGATTTAAATTCAATTTCTTCAGTACTTGATGTTTGGTTTTGATTCTAGTTCTTTTTAAAAGTATTCACTAGTTACAAATAACAGTCATGAGATTTTATATTTTCTTTTACTTCCATAGGTTTGTTGATTGCTGTACACAATGGGTACTTCAGGATTTTAAATTACAAGTAGCAGTCAATGAAACATATCAGAGAAAACATAAACTCAACCAAGCACCTGTCATACTCTGCGGGTAAGCGTAATGTTTAGTGTTGTTGTTTGATGATTTCCTCAGAGCAGCACATTCTCATTTGTTTGGTATAATTTTATCCGTTCTTGTAGTGACTGGAACGGAAGCAAACGTGGGCATGTTTACAAGTTCCTAAGGTCCCAGGGATTTGAAACTTGAAAATGTTTTCATTGAGCGATCCAAAGCTGTGGACTATGCTGTTTTGAGAAGATACAACATATGGATGAGAGAATTTGAGAATGATAATTCAAATTCCACATTGCACTTGATGAGGGATCAAATTATAATGGCACAGGTTTATATAAGAATAGCAAAGATGAAAAATAAGCTTGGATTTGAAGCAAGAACTGCAGATCAAGCTCAAAGAGTCAGCGTGCAGTTGGAGAGTCAACATGCCTATATGTTTCTAAACTTTGTCCAAATTTTTAAACTCATTTGAATCAAGGATTTTGTTTTATGTTTTGTTTCTATTTTCTCATTATTCGGTATGCCTTTACTAATAGCTCCTAAGTTATTGAAGTATTACTCTCTGTTATTTTGATTGTCAGTGTTGTCATGCCTAGAGGTGAACTAATATGTATAGTTTCAATGTGTATAGTTCTGTTTTATGCAACTACTCCTAATAGTGTGATTTGCGACGTTTTTAGATGAAAATGCCATTAATAATAGGCTTATTTGCAGCGTTTTTAATTACAAATGCCACTAAATACACAGTCAATAGCGGCGTTTGTAAAGAAAAACGTCGCTAAATACACAGTCAATAGCGGTGTTTGTAAAGAAAAACGTCGCTAAATACACAGTCAATAGCAGCGTTTGTAAAGAAAAACGGCGCTAAATACACAGACAATAGCGGCGTTTGTAAAGAAAAACGCCACTAAATACACAGTCAATAGCGGCGTAAACGCCGCTAAATACACAATCAATAACGGCGTTTGTATATACAAACGCCGCTAAATACACATTCAATAGCGGCGTTTGCAAAGACAAACGTTGCTATATGTCTTGACCTATTACGACGTTTTTTTAAATCTTCGTTAACAATAGCGGCGCTCATTGTAGAGGCACTTCTTGCGGTGTTTTTGCAAACGCCGGGAAAGTTTTTAGCGGCACTTATAAACGCCGCTAATGACCCATTTTGCTGTAATGATTTTATCTGATGAATCTGATTTGCTCCCAAATTCATTTAAGTCTAAAGTTCTGGCTTCTATTTTGTAGGCACATGAGATAGAACTTAAACAAATGCCGAAAAACTTAAAGAGTTCCTTTTTAGGAGAAAATGCTACTTCACCGGTTATTTTAGATAAGCTTTCAAAGCTAAAAACGATAAGAAGAATAGCCTATGAGAATGCCAAATTCTACAAGGAGAAAATAAAAGAATTATACGATCGTAGAATTTCTCATAAGGAAGTTCTTATTTGGAAAAAGCATATGAAGTGGATGAAGTATTTCTCTTAGAAATTGTAGTCTGAATCAGGCCATCGAGCTAATGACGTTAAACAAAAGCGCTTTATGGGAGGCAGCCCATTATTTTTAATTTTGTTGCATTTTTTTGTTTTATTCTATTTTATTAGGCAAATTCATTTAATTTTTTTGCTTTATTTTTCATGACCAAATGCTTTCAATCAAGCTAAAATAGTGGAGACTTGCGAAACTTTCATTCGAAGAGTGCCAAATTCGAACCCCACGAGCAACATATTTTTCCTTTCATGCAAAGTGGTGGAACAATCTGTTCTAGTGTCATGCGCATCGTTTCATTAAAAATGACTCACGTTAGCATTCCCCTATGAAGGTCTGTTCCTTTTAACTAATCTCAAATCACCTTTTCCCCCTTTTTGAGACATTCTACCCCCAATCTTTTCACCCTATCTTTTCCCTTTCTTTTTCTTTGACCACGTGCCCTACCTCTATCCTTATCACTCCCCTTTTAAATTTCAAACACCAATTTAACCCAACTTAAAATACCCCATGTACCCTATTCAACACAAAAAAAATCCAAAGTCCCAAGTCCTTCACCTTCCCCAAACCATACCCGTCGCCTCTTCTTCTACCCATCGTTGGCCTTGTCGTCACATTCCATCACGCTTTTCGAATACTCCACCACACTCTTACCTAGCTGCTCCTCTCCATAATGGTTTGTGCACAAGGAACTGTCAAAAAATGATGTCAATCACCACACCAAACACTATGCTCGTGTTGTATTACTCGGCGTTCACACATACCGCCTCCCTCCACCACACACCGAGCACTGTCCGCCATCCATATCCTTTGCGCTTTCCATCACCGTCCTTCCAGTCTATGACAACCGTGGCCTTTTCTCCCTCTCGTCCACGCCCGTCGAATTTTCCTTCGTGCTCCATACATTCAATGACATCTAAAAACACTCATGAAGTAAATTCTAATCCTATTTCCATTTAACCATTACTAATATACCATCTGATTTATGGTTTTACAAAGGATTTCGATGTCGGTTTCCTTCGTCCCAACGCCTCCCACCACGACCGTGGTCGTGGCCTTAGTCGACAGTAAATCCAGGGAGTTCTCTATTCCTTCTCTTGCACTTTAATTTTCCGTTTTGGGATAAAACGCTTTAAGTGAGGGGGAGTAAAGTCTAGGTTGAATTTCCCTTTGCTTATCTTTATGTTTGATGCTAGTATGTGTTTATTGGATTTGCGGAAAATTTCATGGAATTTCTTTGTCTTATTGAATATTTTCGGTATGCCATGATTGTTTGAGAACACATAATTGTTTAAGTTATGATATTCTTGATAGCAGATAGCATGAATTGAGAACAAGTTGAATTTATTGTGATATTCCATGATTTTTTTGGTTGAAATATGCTTAGCTCAATGCATAAAAACAATTTGGTGAGATTTGAGTCTTTACGAGCATATCATTTTGCTCTCTTTTTTTGGATTGAGTGTGTCGAATTGGACATTGGTATTTTAGAACCTTCATTTTAAATATTTTCGAGATTCCACATGAACATGATGCTTAAAAATGATTTGGGCACCTTAGCATTAACCACTTTGTTTTCCCACTAAAATTGCCTACCCATGCATTTTCTCTAGTTAACCACTCTTAAGCATATTTCCATTCTTTGTTTTCACTATATTTATAAACCCGAACATTTTTATTTTATCTCTCTTTTCTACCATTTTCAGGACAAGTGAATAATTTATCCGGTGTATGCTCTATGAACAGAAGAATTTTTTGTATGGTGTGACGTGCAAAGAGGGAAAGGAAAAGGTTATTCTTTCATTTTTTTTTCAAAAAAAATAGAAAAACAGAAAAAGACATGAGAAAAATAAAGCAACAACACAAGTGTGGAAAAGTCAAATTCAGTTCGAAAGGAAAGTTGTTGTTTAATGGTTTGTCTTTTTACCTTGTTGTGCTTAGTTAATTGATGGAGTTGAATGTATTATTTGTAATTCCTTGTCTTGAATTTTCAGCCATATATTTAGATTTTTTCCCCACCTTTACCTAAGCCATGTTACAACCAATAAAAGACTCTTTGATTTATGCATTTTGTTCTTATTTGTAGTGGAGATTGGATTTACTTACAGGCTTATGGTAATGTCATGTCGGTTTTGACATTGAGCGTTTCTATGCCCCAAGCACATTGAATGGTTTGAGTGAATCCTTGTAAGGTGCTGAGTTATGGGTATTACGATTGATGAATGAATGGATGTTATAATTGTATTTAACTTGTTCCAATTGATTATGTTCAATTGATTGATGTCTTGACTTGGATAATTATTGTGGTCTTTGCGTTGTTTCTTCGAATGTGAGACTTGACAAAGAAAGGTAAATGTAATTATATCATACTTGAGGACAAGAATGAGATAAGTGAGGGGGAATTTTATGAGTGTTCTAAAATGATATTATTTGCTCGTTAAATCTTCGATCTTATGGATTTATTGCTGCTGATTTGGTTTTGTTATGCTTATTTTCATACAGGATAACTTTCCAGAATTAGTGGTAAAAGGGTGCATTCTGCATTTTTTATTATTTGGTTATAGCTGGAGACATGGGCATGACACGATCTGATGTGGAAGTTTCTAGAAGATCCAGTCAGCAACAGTTTTCTAGAAGATCTAGTCAGTACCTTCTGGAATGTGGACGAACAGAGGTATCTTAGAAGACTTATTTTAAAATTTTAAAGTTTTAATTTAGAAACATTTGGAATTATCTTTAGGATTCTTTTTATTTTAATTTCTATATTTATCTCTAAGTTTTTAAAGGCTATAAATACCCTCTTGGGGTAAGCCTAAAACACAACTCAGAATTTACTCTTCTTCTTTTCTTATCTTTTGAAGTTTTCATTTTATTTTATTTAAGTTTTATTTTTTAAAATGTTAAGTATTATTTGTATCATACTTAGCTAAATTTTCCATAGCTAAAGGCTAAAGTGATGACTTGATTATGAATTGTGAGAATCAAAAAGCAACTCATACCCTCTGGGTTAAATTCTCAATTTTTTAGAAACTAGATTGGCGAATAGTCTTTCTTAAAATCAAAACGCTTTCACTTCAAAAATAGATTTTAGCTTGGATGATGTTATGGTTTACCGTTGGGATTATAGAATCAATTTATTCGAATTCCCTTGAACACACTTATTGAATGGTATGCTAAGGGAAATTGGGATCGAGTTTGACTTTCTTAGAGAAATCATAATTTGCGTTGGTTTTTTCCAAGCATTTTTAAATTGTTTTGAGTTAACAACGATAGTCGAAGTTAATCCGAACAAGGATTTTGATTCCTAAAATAGATTTAGGAAAGTCAATCACCAAAGAGGAAAATGAGCTACAATGATTGAACCTTGCATCCTCAAATCGACATTTAACTGGAGGAAAATCATATTCAATGATCGATTGGAATTTGAGGCACACGAAAACTTGAGGCTAATTTCATCATATTGGTTTTTAATTTTACTTTCTTCGATTCTTTATTTTCCTTTTAATCATTATTTGCTTATTTAATTTCTCAACAAAACCCATATTACTTTACTTGCATTTTTTTCTCCTAGATCAGAGATCAAGAACAGCCGTTTCAGCATCTTCCTTAGTCCCTGTGGATCGACCATTACTCTCTCTATACTATTATATTTATTTTTAATAAGATTAAGGATAAATTATATGATAGTGAAAACGACGCATTGTCAGTTGTCATTTTCTTCCAGCTCACAATCAAAACAAATTGTAAAACAATAGTTCATTGAATATCAAATAAGTCAAATTTTGTTTTAATCTTTCAAAAATTATATACATTTGAAAACTGCAAATATTAATGTTGATATAAAGCTTATGCTGATTTGGGAAGGTAATGTGTTTTAGGTTGGCTTCTTGCGTTCTCGATTCAGTTGTTCATTGATTTGATGAAGTAGCTGTCATGTTTCTCTTCTGGAAATGTTTAATGGTTATCAGCCCTCGTGAGTGCCTTTGGACTATGCAATGCTTTATCAAAATGTATAATATTGTCTTCTGTGCAGTGGTTAACAATCTTCATGTTTGAACTACCTTTTCAGGTTTTCAACTCGAATTCTCTTTTTGTTTCAAGACGTCATCTAAAATTTTACGTCCCGATTCCTCTTTTTATTATTTTCCTATCATGCATTAAAAATTTTAGAAAACTAATTTTTACAAATAAACTTAACCGTGAGGGTGGAATGAAATCTAAAGATATTCTCTCCATTTAGAAATCCGTGCATGATTAGAATGGACTTTTTAGGCATGTAACGTAGGTCAGGGCTCACGGTTATGAAAGAAAGGGATAAATAGGCACAAACAAGTGTTTAAGGGATATTGAACCAATGATCGATTTGTTTTGTTGTCTTTAACTTGTCTTCCTCGACTTGAATTTGCTCGTGTGTCTTTTATTTTATTTTCTTTTGGTGTTCTCTGATCTTCTGGCGAATTGATTATAGATCTTTGAACCGCTCGTCTTGAACTATATGATCGCTTTCTTTGTTCTTTCTTTTCTTTTTTTTCTTTTTTTCTTTTTTCTCTTTTTTATTTTTTTTCTTTTTTCCTTTCTTTTCTATCTTTTTTATGTTTTGTTTGCTATATCTTTTCTTCTTTCTCTCTGTGTCATCGAACTTTATTTGATATTTAGGTGCTTTGTATTTGGTTTACCTTGCGGTATCTTGTTATTTCTCACTTTATTTCCTTTTGACTTGCTTCTATAGCGAAATCTGGATTGATGATCTTCACTCATGCGAACAGATGTCCTTCACCTTTGCCCCTAGGGTGGAGGGTGATCCTTGGTTAGGTTGATTCAGAAGAAACAATATTATAGGCTCAACAAGGGATATATATTTGAAAGGATAAATGAAACAAAGTCGTTCATTATCTCATACACAAAAATCTTTGTAAAAGAGGTATCCCAAGGGGACGAGTATTGAGGATTAACCTTATTTACATGAAAACAATGTAATTAATGCATGATAGAATTATTTCAATTATTCCCTTTATTTCTTTTTCACTTTGCTTCCAGTATGACCCAATTATTCGAATTCTCTTGGAAAAACTTGATGGGTAACACTCTCTCTTGTCTTTCTTGCAGGAATGGTCCTCGTTATGCCCTGAGATTTATTGAGGTTGGGAAATGAATGTTGGTTCTTGTCTAGGAAGGGAAATGTGTGACTTTAAAGTCATAATTCTGAAAAAGGTAATGTTATGGAAATGTTATTTATGTCTGGGAAGGTAAAAGTACATGTTTTGGCGCCTCGGGGGGATAAGGGCATGACTTTCTTGATTCGAATAGAGGTGATGTCAAAGTTCAATCTTTTGGTAATGAGAACACGCCGTGTAAGGAAATGAGTAAGGGTGTTCGGCTTTGGAGGGAACATGAAAGGTTTAATTTTGCCCCTTGTCAACGATCTATAATTAATGAAGTAGTAGAATAACCTTTAATTAATTCAATATTCAAATAATTACAAGATTAAAACTTTATTTATTGCTCATAACCTGAAAAAAGCCATAAGTTCAACCAATAAAATATTTATCGAGTATAAGAACAAAAAAACGTTCAAACATGACAAAGCAGTGCCATAAGGCTTCATGGTGGGTGGAAGAACTTTTTAATAGGCCTCAGAATGTCTCATTATGAGTTAAATGTTAATACCCCTGGGTCAAACAAAATATGGGTCTTGCTTCTCAGTGCCCCATGGATCTCGATGATGTGCCTCGAACATCAGATGGCACTAACATCACGTTCATAGCTCTCAATCCTCTTCTAGGTACACATGGGGTGACTACGTTTTACTTCAAAGCTTTTATCACAAGATTCTCCACAAGTTAATCCTTGGATCTGTGATTAATGCATGTTGAGATGCAATGTTTACCATGTAATGTAAAATGTATATATGCAAAGATGCACATGGAAATGAAAAGATGCAACAATGGGAGCGTAAAATGTGAGATGTAAATGAAACAAGGAATTGATCCCAAAAATAATTGTTCGTTGAAAAATTCTCGAAAAACCGACAATGTCTCGGTACACTGGGGAAATGAAAATCTGGTCCATCTTCAGGTTATTCAACTC